TTCAATGGTGGTCACACTGGACCTACCGTGGAGGAAGTAGATTAAACACAAATGTAATTTAGGAATAGATCTCTCTAGCTTAAAATGTATTTTTGTAAGAACTTAGACTTAAAATGTTAACTAGTTCGTAGAAAGAAAACATCCTATGTACATAAAAGAAAGACTGAAAATATAGAACATGAACAAATTATTTATTTAAAACGAAAATTTTGTTATTTTTTTACTTCAGATATTCATTTAGTAGGAGGATATTTTAATTGAATTTTCGACATAACTCCGTGGCTATCTTTATTTCCGTGTCAATATGACACTAATTTGAGACAGAATTATATAAATGGAGTAAAATATAAACATATAAATAACAATTAAGCAATTTAAAATAAATGAATTAAACAAAAAAAATTAAAAATAAAGTAAAATAAAACAAAATAAAATATTAAAAATTAAAGTAGATTGAACAAAAAAAATTAAATCGAAATGTAAATAAGTAATATAAAATAAAAAACAGATAAAATAAAGTGATTTATAACCAAATGTTAGTTAAAAAATTAAAATATATAAGAATTATCATAATTTCGAAAAAAGAATATTAAAATAAAATAAAATAAGATAAATAAAATAAAATAAAATAAAATAAAATAAAATAAAATAAAATAAAATAAAATAAAATAAAATAAAATAAAATAAAATAAAATAAAATATAATAAAATATAATAAAATATAATATAATAAACTAAAATGCAAATGAAGTAGGGAAGTAAAAAAAATAATATTAAACAAAAATAATAAAAAAGGATTAAATAAAATTTATTTAAAATAAAGAAAAAAATAAATAAAATAAATATGAAAACAAAATGAAAATTAATGATTTAAAATAAATTTTAATTTAAATTTAAATAAAATGAATAAGTTAAATACAAAAAAATAAGAGAAGAAAATTAACTATAATTAGATAAAATAAAACATTTAAAGCGTTATAAAATAAAATACAAAGCATAAAAGAATATTATTTTTCTTAATTAACAGTGCAGCTGCGGTTAGAATTAAATTTATTTCTCTTCAAATTTTATTCAACGTTGAAATTTATTCAATTAGTAATTGGCGTAAATTTTTACAATTCATATTAAATATATATTATATATACATATGGTAATAATAATTACAACTACATAACAATGGTCATATCAATTTGAACGTATGCATGATTAGATATTGACATCAACATTTATACTTGTATGCACATAAGTATGTACAAATAGTACACATATTGCAACATTATTTGTTTATGTAAATTCTAAAAATTATTAATCTTGCGCTCATTCACAACAAAAAGAAAATTGAAGTAACCATATAATTGAACTTATTTTGCATTTTCCATTTTTGTACTAAATTAATTTGTCTTTATTTATTTTTTATTTAATCTTCTTGCATTTGTTTAAATAAAAACTCAACACAAACAAATACCTAAACTCAAGTAAGCCAATTCTCTTTATTGTTATTGGTTTTTATATTTAATATTTAATTGTTTTTTTATTTTTTTTTTTATTTTGTGTGAAAAACCCCAATGGCACATGCAACAACGCACTTACAGTGTCATTATAGTTAAGTTAACTATTGAACTTAAGTACGTACGTAAAAATTAAGTTTGTTTTGCCATTGTTTTTATTTAAAAGCAAATATTTTTTTATACATTTGTATTGACATATTGATTAAAATTTAATTTTAAGTCAAAAAAAAAGTAGAGGGCAAAAGTAATGGTAATAAAATACAATTACAAGGCAAAATTAATCATTTGTTATTGTTGTTTTTGTTCGTCATGAGCGCTAAATTCAATACCACACGAATAAATGTTACATTTTAATAAACATACATACATACATATAATAAAAAAACTAATAAATACACATTACAATCTTTAATTAATTAATTACATACTTATAATCAAATATATTTTAATGTATCTTTGGATATACAAAACAACAGTGGCGAAAATTTGCGGAAATTAGAGACAAAAATATAATTTATTAATAACTAACAAAAAAAAAATTTTTTTTTTTGTTTGATAAGAAATTATTTTTTATTATTCAATATAAACAATTATTTTAATTTTTATTACGTGTTAAGTAGTTATTTCATTAACTTTTATTTGAAAATTTTTTAATATTTTTGAAGAAAACTTCTTCTGATTGTCATTTTATTTATTAAAAAAATTTATTTTAGTCTTTATTTTTTCACTTAATTTTTATTTTCGTTGTCTTCGCTTGTTGTTTGCTTTATACTCTTACTTAAATTACGTTTAATTACAATAAATACTTTATTAATTACGCATTTTTGCTTAAATTCTTTTATTTTTCTTCACACTTGCACAGATCTTGCAGGCAGCTTTAAGGCACCCATACCAGTATTCGTTCGCTTATATACTCTTCTACATACATACATACATACATATATTTATATGTTACATATGTATTATATGTACGTAGCCTTGGTATGTATTAATTATATATATGTATATTTTTACAGTCTTCCTCGATCTATGTACATCTCACAGCTTATCTGTCTTCTCATATGCTTCATGATTTTCATTATCAATGGCTTCGTTTGATTTCTCCTTCTCCTCAGCTTCGAAGTCGATTTTTCGTGGTGGATCGTTAAAGTCTTGCACCTCACCCGATGCCCAGATGACGTATACAAAGGCAGTGACGACGAGCACACCGAAGGCGACCCAGAAAACGAGACGCCATTCGAGTAGTGAAGCCTGTGGAAATTAATAAAATAAATTTTATTAAAACTGTCAGCATAAAGGAGACAGAGTGAGTATTAAAAAAAGGATTTAAATATTTTTAACTACGATGAAAGAATGAGCATGCTAAAGATCGGCTAAAGTAGTTCTTAAGCCCGTTAGTCACTAAAAAAAAACAGTCTGACAGCCGGAGTGTCGATAGGGACAAGATAAACGGTATCTGATAACAAAGATAAATCACTTAGGCTATACTTTGGAATGACCACTGATTTCGGCCTGACCAGCAGCGAACGCTGCAAGGGATTTCGAGAGTTGCGAAATATATAGAGCTCAAAAATAAACGGGGTTTCACGGTTGAACACAAAAATTACCGAACTTATTTTATAACCTTATATATATATTTTCTTAAGAATGTCCTGCGTTCCACCCCGAAAAATTATTCTGCGTTCGCCCCTGACTGTGGTTCTTGTTAAATCTTTTTCCTACCGATTTAAACCTTGGCGTAAGCTCTGTGATTTATACAAAATATTTGTATTTAACCTAAAGACGAGTCTAGGATTTCGGTCGTTTATTTCCGTTAACCCTGTAGAAAGTACAACTGTCTGCTGTTTTCCTTGTAAAGACCACTCAGCAATAGGACTTAAGCGGAAGGTAACCTCCTTTCTCATCGACCTAACCCACTTTTTCGCTGCACAATAACGGCAATTTTTTTAAAATAGTTGGCACTATATATTAAGTCGCCTCCTAACGGCTGATGGTCTTCAATGAGGAGCCCCGATTTCATGTCAGAAATATAATCAGAGAGCTTGGCATTCTCTGCCGAGGGAAGACCGGAATTAGGGACTATAACTTCCTATAATTTTTGAATGTTTGTCGGACCAGAACTAGAATTCTGGCCATACGAATCGCAGGGCGCACTGCTAACTACTCGGTTACTGCGTCCACGCGTCAGCAGCTCGGCTCGTGTTGAACATAAAAGTCAACGACGTCCAAATTCCTACAATGAACAACCTCAAGTTATTGAGAGTCACTGTCGACAGCCTGCATTCACAAACACCACCCACGGCTCAGATTGCGATCAAAGTAGAGCAGCAGCTGTTGTCAGAATATCGTCCTGAGTACTGTGCTGGAACTCGAACTACCACTTAGACTCTTCAGGAAGGAGTGATCAACTTAAAGGACTCTATGCAGCACCACAGAACAGAACGTCATACGGATAAGCCTTAAGCGCCATTCACAAAAGATCCATCAACACCTTAATAAACTCTCTTCAAGGAATGATGTATCCGGAATCTAACCACCAGCCAAAGAAGGTGAAGCGCTTGAGTTGCTTGGCAAATCCCAATTAGTACTGGAATAATTAATGTCTGAAACCTATGCTGTTTGCAATGAGTCTCCAATGACCTCTTTGTTCGTCTACTGAAACTTATTTATATAGATAACTCGCGACTCATTCAAATTCCTCCCGACAACATAAACTAACTGCGCTTGCTCCTAAACAAGGTTGAGCTTCAACATACAAACATAACGACACTTGGTCCGAACGAAAAATTATGATCGGCCCTAAAGGATCATAACAAAAGCTTGAGACTTATACCAGGGAACCCTGATCCCTGCCTATCCAGTTTCTAGGTGAAAGTGGGTGTTGGCATCTTCATCACGAAAGGTAAACAATATATATGCTATTATTGGAAAATATATTGTAGACGGCCAGTAATTTAGAAATATCACCGAATCGCCATTATTTATTATTACTCACATTTGGTGTCATCAGGCCCACCAGCGAAGGCGATACGACACCCGTAATTGCACCAATACCATTGGTGATGGCCATCAATGTACCCGCATAGTTGGGACTCATGTCGAGTGGCGTCAACTTCATGCCCGCATAGAAGGCACCCATGAGACCCATCGAAATAGTGAATAGTATAACGACAGCAAGACGATCACAACCGGCATACGAAGCGGCAACTATGAAGATCGCTGGACCAAAAGCGGCTGAAAAGGAAGGAAAATATATTTTAAATAATTTTATTTCCATTGGAAGTTCTCTTTTTTTTTCTCACTTACCCAAACCCGTCATCATTTTACGCACATTCGTGATGCTCATAATCTTACGTGAAATCAGGTAATCACCAGCAAAACCTGTACTCAATGAAAAGATCCACATCATGGCGTATGGCAGTGAAGAATAGAGACCGTTAGCTTTAATAGAGAACTGCATAACATCTGACATGTATTTGGGTAAATCGGTGACCATAATATAGAAACCCCAATCGTGACCGATTTGTGCGGAAATCAAAGCCCACATGGGCAAGCTGGTTAAAATGGCACCCCATGGTGTGGGTGGCAAGTTCTTGTTGCGTCCAATGGTGCCCATGTGCTTGGTAAGATATTCCTTTTCGCTTGGCTTGATGAATGGATGTGTGGTGGGGTCACTGTAGCAGAGGAAAGTCTGCGGCAAATAAATAAAACATAGAATAAATTAAGAAAAGATGTATAAAGTTTTATACCACACCACTGGAGCAACTCTACTTACGAAAATAACAAACCATATAATGCCAATACCGCCGAAGAAGTAGAATACCACAGGCCAGTCATAGGCATCCAAAAGCAAACCCGATATGAGATTACCGAGAATTGTACCAACTTGTCCGCCACCCAATACCAGAGCGCCCAACTTGCCACGCTCCTTCACTGGCACCCATTGTGCGAGTAATACACTCAACGCCGGGAAGGTGGTACCCTCACCGATACCCATTAGAATACGCACAATAATCAGCCAAGTAGCACCACCGTTGATAATAGCGAGCGGCGTTATGACCGTAAAGAATGCGGTGGAGAGTATACCCAAACTGAGCGTCCATTTGCCACCGAATTTTTCAGCCAACAAACCACCAGGAATGTGTGTCAGAATGTAGCCGATGTAGAACGACGATAAGATATAACCCTGTAACTCCTCCGACCATTCATATTCGCCACCACTCTGCAAGAGTATAACGTACATATTTTGATGCGGTTCTTGTGTTAGAGTTCAAGATAAAAACTTACATTAGATTCCGAATCCAAAGAATCAGCTACACAGACAGCTTGTTCACCACTTTCGTCTGTGCGATTTTTTTTCACCACCAGCTCGGTAATGGCGGTTGAAAGACATATACGCATCGTATATGCATTAAGCATCGCGAAGAAGCCCATGATCGAGAGGATCACCCTCTGAGGCACACAAAAGACTGTAAAGAAAATAAAGTCGCAGACGAAAGATTAATTTTACGGATCAAACATTTCTTTCTGCTGCAGAGAAGCATGAAAATTCAAATAATAATTCTTATCTAAATAGTAAATATTTTTCTTCAAAATTTCGAGACCTTAATTGGTTGTTTGGTTGGTTGAAAGGCGAGGTTAAGAATCTGACTGCGGCCGGCCGCACCTAAGTCATTGAATAGGTTTTATGTGCTCTCAATTATACTTTGCGAACAGCCTGATTTTATAAATTTTTTTTGTTTGGTCTGCCTGCAACCTACGCTGCCCTAAATTAGTTTAGCGGTACGCCCATCGTTGTAACTGTTCCAGGGTCTTAAGTGATTCCCTAGGTTGCAATATTTCAAACAAAAATTTGAGAGCGCTAAAAGGTCCGAGGCTATCGATTGTCATAGCCTCACCAAGGCGTGCCAGCTTATCCTCCTCTTCATTAGCTTGTACAGAGTTGCTCTCATTTACTATGAAGTTACCTCGGTCTCAGAAAAATCCTACTCCTGTGCCTGCCTCGCATTTGAATCCATCAAAGTAGATGAGAATATCTTTAGTATTATCGATGACCTTGGCTTCCGCTTCCTGCTAAGGAGGGAGTAGATTGCTTACACCTGGCCGAGCTGATCTCCACAGAGATCTTGAAATCTAGTACGACAACTCAGTATCTGTCACGGGAAGGGAAAATCTATTAGAGAATATTTGCTCAAAAGTTAAAAAAGCACACCAATTCCAAGCACTTATGGATCAACAGCCATTGAGATACTCAGAGAGAGAGAAGAGATTAAGATTAAGACGCCTCAGTCTAGAACTATTAATCTGCATCATAAAAGAAACTTGGGCACGAAATAAAAGCTGCTCGTAAATATCTATCAGCCGTGACTGCTATGACTGCTATATTTCTAGAGCATGAAACTTCTAATAGACTGTGAGCCTTGAAATCTCGCTTACGCCTCAACACGTTTTTTATCGCCTGAAAATTGCTTGCGTGTAGGAACATATGCTCGATCGAATCTTTTAATTTTCAATTTCTCTTTTAATTAACGAATAATTATATTGATGAAGCAAAACGATTTGAAAAATTTAATTCAATTTCAAATCTAAATTTCCCATTACGATTAAATTTTTATAAAACACTTTTATCGTATATCATGTCAAGTGTAATTTGTGTAGATCACACGTAAGGCCAGCACATAGTGAAGTAAGTACAGTACTGGCGAAGAAAATACTTGCGAGTGCATGACGTAATAGTTTCGATGAATGGGAAAAACTAACCTCAAACTCAAAAATAGTGATGTCATTCTCAAAGGTCCTGCAAGCATTTCTTATTTATAATTATTAGATTAATTAATTAGATCAATTCGACCTAAAGCTACCCCAAATGAGTAGTCTAAGTCTATAGTATTTATTAGAATATAGAATCCCACGTTATTCGAATTGTAAAATTTGATTTTCAGTATTCGATTAATCGATAATTCGAAATATTTGTATTCGATTAATCGATCAATCGATAATTTGAAATATTTGTATCGAATTATCGATTAATCGAATAGTTTTTTATCAACGATATCAAGTATTCAAATAGTGAAAATCCTTTTGGAAAAGGATGTAAAAAAACATAGAAAATCAGTCACAGGTGACAGGATTCGATTCATGTAGGAAGAGATAAACATTAAGACTCTGAAATTTATATAAAAAAACCTCTTTGGCATTAGAGTAAGGTTTATTCCTGGATCCATTTGGGTCGAAGAGAAAAGCCATACATACGAATTTGCTAGCCATAAGTATTTCAGATACCCTCAAACGTCTTTCCGTTTCGCATACGACTATTAATCGAACGGTTGCAGTTTCGATTAAACGATTTTCGGTATAAGGAAGCGGTTTCCAAAAATGTATAAATTGATATAAATTGTTTACAATTTAGGTATTTTAAAATTTTTGAAAACAGATTATTACTTGGGGCCAGGATTTGGTTGTAGGGTGTGTGATTATAAATACCGAGGCCCACCTTTTACAGGGCAGTCAACACCTTTAGTAAAAATCTCCCACTCTTTGCTCTTAATACCTCCTTTTAGTCGCGTATAGTCCTTTAGAAGCGTATAGGAACACTCTTATTTATATAATCGATAAGTTGCCATGAATTTTCCTCTTGGAAGGTGCCGTGCACATTTTTTTGTCACTGTGTTGTTTTGTTTTAGATCCATAGCGGTGAATACAAGTTTCAGATCCAGCGACAATTCGACTCAATACACCCTGACCCTTTTTTTGCATTACAGAGGTTCAAAAAAAAAACACATGAATTGAGGTGTAATAAATCACTACCGACAAATGCAATGTTGTCATGGACCAGGGATGCATTTTTTATTGTTAATTTTAAAATTTTAATGGTTTTAACGAGCATTCTTTTAGTTCACAATTTTTGCCAGTTTGTGCTGGATATCCATAATTGAAAAACACAGAATTAATTTTGTTTTCTGTTATACTTCGGCTACTCGTCGGTAACTGTCTTCAGGGTAAATTAAATTATGTCAAAACTGTGTTACGGAAACTTATTCAAGATTTTCATTCATTATTTTTATATATATTTTTACACATAAGCGTATAACTTTCAATAATAGATCTTTTATTGAAACTTTTTCATATGTGCGAATTTTTTTGAAGCACACTGTACACTAATGTATGTACATATGTAATGCAATTACGAAAGTGAGCGAGCGAGCGAACTCAATCTATTTCACATTAAATTTAATTATACTTATAACAATCGTACAATCGACGTTGATAGTTCGCGGCAAATTATCGAATTAGTAACGACAACAACAATAACAACAACAACAAAAAATCATTAAAGAACGTGTGAGCACTTCATCGAATTGCAATTGCTTTATGATGATTCTCACCTATACATAAATTGTTGAATAAAAAATTAAAAAGCTCTAGAAAGTTTTCAAAAATATTTTGTTTTAAAATAATCATAAAATAAAATATTTTAAAATAAGCGATGGATTATTTTCAATCAATCAATACCGTTGATTTTGTTGATTTATTAATTTTTACTAATCAACGAATTCTTTATATAGCATACTTTTAGGCAATATATGTATATATTTATGAAATTGGCGGATAGTGAATAAGTTTGGTCGGAAGTTTTCAAAATTTTATGAATATGTACATATTCAAAAATGGTTTATAAATTTTAGTTAAATAATTTTAATACTATTTCTTATTTTTACACGAAAAGTTATTTGTGAATATTTTTAAGTTTTATATAATACAATATGTGGAGAGTCATAAACATACATACATACAGATATATATACTCGTATGTGTAAAACAAGCTAAAATTATAGCTAAAAAAATTGGTTTAAATAAAAAAATTAAATTGACAATAGAAATACTTTTCAATATAAATGTATATATGTAAATATATGTAGGTATATATGCGAATGTATGTGCGTTTTTGTTTTTATAATTCATTCGTGCAGGTTAAAGACCCCTTATAATTGAATCAAATTATAGCAACGCGTAAAACAAGTTGAATTGTACGAATTAAGTATTAATTTTATTTAATTTTTTTTTTTCTTTTTCTCTTTTTTATTATTTTCTACTACCTGCAGTTTAGTTTTATTTCTTCTTGTTTGTTTTGCTAAAATAATTTTTTTATGTTTTTTTTTTCGTTTGTTTGAGTTAAAAGACCCCATTGAAGGACTGGTCCGCACGTCTCGTCTATTCGCGTTTCAACAATGGAATTGCAAATAATTTTTTTTTTATTTATTTTTTATATTAATTTTTTTTTTGCTTTAAGAATATGTTTAACACAATGCGCATAGCTTAAGTCACGCAAGTAGATGAGTATGTATGTATATGATATGTATGTATGTACTTTGTAATTGGGTTAAATAAAATCATAGAATGCAAAAAACTGCAATTAAGCAAATTAGTAGCAAAAAATGATACAATCTATCGATATGTACGTACAGATGTATTTTTTTTTTTTGTTGATACATTGATTTGTAAACAGATGATAAATCGCAATTACGCTTAACGTCATTAAAATAGTGCAATGTGCAAGTGAATTGTGTGGAAAAGAGTTTAAAAACAAATTTTCAATTTGAAAAATTTCTTATTCGATATTTAGCACTTCGTGTAATATTTTCTTAAATAAGATAAAAATAAGTGCAAGTATTTTCTGCTATAAATTAAATATATATATATATATATATGTATATGAATATGAATATGTATGCCGATATGCGCACCTTAAATTGTCTTATACTCCCATGTTATATAACTTTTCGAAAGCGTTTAGAATATACATATGCATACATATATAATTGGCGCTTTACAACCGCTAAAGTGATTTTCGGCGGAACTTTAGATTGTGCGCTGGCGAAATAACCGATATAAAATTAAAAAAAAAATCAGTACTGGCAAAATTAAATTTGTTAAATTCTAAGAATCTAGCAACAAAAGATTCTAAGAATCTACAAACAAAAAATCACTAATAACAACATTCAACAGTCAGTTATTTATAAAAAAATTGCACTTTCAAACCGCTCATTAGTTAATTTTTATTTATTTAACTACGAAAAAAAAACAATACAAATTAATAAAAAACTTAACAATTTAAAACTCATTGTGAAAACCTGCTTCTTACTTTCACTTCCAGCTCGCTTACGAATTGTTTTGAAATAATGACAAAAAATCCTTATTACGGATGTAATTAAATAAAACTAAAGAGTTTTTTTTAATTATACTGCTGTCAAACACTAATGCCAACAATTGTGTATAATTACATGTGTACATACGAAAGTGAAGTGCAAATTCTTATTCAATTGAATTTTTTGTTTTTTTCTTATGTAAACGTCAATAAATTGTCATAAATGTACAATTGAAAATAATGAATTTGGTTATTAACGATATAAAGAGTCATTAAAGTACGGTTAATATGTAATGACACTAGTGTTAATTACACTACAGGGTG